GTCTGTAATAGGAAAACAAACAACCAAGCTAGAAAGGTCTGTTGTATAATTACCTGCTGCATTATACATTGCTATGTGATATGTACGGCTATTTGGCCACATGTAGTTAAATTGGTTATGTATTTGCATTTCCACCTGTATGACTTAAGTAGTAATCAATCCTCAATTTGACTGCAAAAGAAACAAGAAAATGGATCACGAAATTTCCCATGTCGTAAAAGGCCCAATACAGAATGGCATTAACGTTAATTCGCTTGAACTTTATTCGATCTAAACAGTTCAACCCAAATATTTACTGCCATTCTGTCTACAGAATTAAAAAAGATGGCTCCCGAATATCGTGATATCAGATCTTGGTGACGCACGTGCTTTTAAAAGTCTCCGAGCTTGTCAGCCTAAATGACTTTGTATTATTGTTTATTACTTGTTGTCAGACTATGTATTTGTTTAAACCATTGACGTCTACTGTTACAATACCACGTATTCTACTTTCAGTCTGGATACGGCTGTATAGCTGAAATCCTAATGTTTAATCAGTCCTAGAAAGCTTTTTTTTGCATCGAGTCCTTCATTTTGGCACCATATGCTTTGCTTCTCATACACGAACATCAAACGCTTGTCAGGTGAGCATTCAAAATCAAGCTACTGAGCAATATTTTCATGTGATTATTATGACCGGCAAGTTGGTTCAAAATTTGCTGCCTGTGGATGAAACCCTAGTGTGTGACCATTCAAATGAAAGCTATTTAGCAGTTCTTCCATGTGGCACTGTTTATTATGATGTACAAGGGTGTTCTAACTTTTAATTCTGTGGATGAAACCCTAGTCTGTAACTATTCAAATGAAAACTATTGAGCGGTGCTTTCATGTGGTACAATTTATTATGCTGTACAAAGTGGCTCTAAAATTTTAGTTTGTGGATTAAATCACAATGTGTGGCCATTCAAATGCTCTTAAGCAGTTCTTTCATGAAATACAGTCTTTTGTTGCTGTACAAAGTGGTTCCAAATTTTCAGTCTGTGGATTATGCCCTAATGTGTGGCCATTCAAATGAAGGCAATTGTGCATATCATGTGGTACTGTATGCTGCACAAGGTGGCTCTAACGTTTGAATCTTTGGGTGTTTGTGGCTATTCAAATAAAACCTACTGGGCAGTGTATTCACTCAATTCTGTGTAAATTAAGGTGGTTCTAAGGATCAAACTCGCGGGTATCAGCCGACGTTTGATTCAAGCGATGAGCTTGATCGAACAGTTTTTTCGTGAGGTTTTGCTTGTGTCTCAAATTAATATCCATGGGTTTTTCTCAATTGAAATATTTGGCCACTCTAGGGCATTATGAATAGGCATTGTTACATGTACACCTGCTTGCGTAAACGTGAAAACAAATCAATCAAGTTATGTGATACGAAGATAAAGCCGGAAAGTGGTACGTGTATCTCGCCAGAAAACGATTTTCGCCGCGCTTCCAGAATCTCAGGAGCGTCACGTTTCCTCAATCACATCGATCTTAAAATCACGATATACATTAAAGTGCTGTTGCGTTTTACAACCAGAAAAGCAAGATCCCTTGCTGAACTGCCTTGTTACTGAAAAAGGTAGGGCGACGTTTTCTTTTTCTCTTGATTCAGTTAGTGATTGCTAACATTTTGCTTTTCGTGTGTTTAGATAGAAGAGAGAGAGTATTAACGGCCTAAACCTAAATTTATGCTAAATATAGTTTCCAAATTCGAATAGCCGCCGGGGTTTCGTGCAAGATTACAATGCTTTAATTAATTCGGCGGCGAATTTACGAACGTGAGCGGCCGCCGCTAAACTGAAGCCTTCGCGTACAATTTTCCCGCCAGCTGACCAGGCTAATTTTTTCGTCCGCAATCTGTCTCAATATTCCCTTAGTCTTAACCATTTTTTTACGATATTTAGTTAATGGATGTTTCCCTAACGCAGTAAGCAATATTAATTTCAGCTTTCCATCTGTTTTGACCAATTTAACTTCAATTTTGTTGTTGAACAGAAATAGATAAGTTCCAAATTTGGGATAGAAGAGAAAACGATAGGCTCATAGTTCAGAAGAGACTTACAGATGCATGCAATAAGCGAATACAAAAACACATGGCATTACCTAATTTTTTTATTAGACCAAAAAAATCTATGATCTTAATCCTCATTCGGCTCTTCCAAGTTTGGAATTCTGCTTCAACTTTTGTAACTATCATAACCTATGTGGCCATGTGGCAGACATTAAATTTCCTCTAAAAATGCTCTTTATAGTTTTATTAAGCAAAACTGAGCAATAATTAGCAAATAAAGAAGCCTCGACTGTGCTCTGTTCTGTTGTAAAGCACGCAGGAAGCGGTAGAGCAC